GTCTCCTTCTCTTATTCTCTGGCAAAGAAGGCCAGCCAAGCTCCTGCTGGTCTCCAAGGATCCCCCAAACACGGGGATTTTCCCAATCGCCTCAACGATGTATTGATCATGGAGGCTACTTACTGACCACTGTGCCCTGGAACCAGTTCCCCTGGGCATCTGACGCTTCCAAGTGACACTCAGGGAAGGGTGTCAGATGCACGTGAGGAGACGGAAAACGAAGCTACAGCCCCCCACCCTGCCACCGCAATCTTGCAATCAGGACTCAGGACGAGCCCCTCTGTCTGTGTCCTATCACAGTTCTCTCAACCAGACCCTAATTAGGATGGACGGCTGTTCTCCACCCGGGACTGGAAGGAAGCCTGGAATTAGCTCAGTCGAGAAGCCTTCAGCCCCAAGAACCATCAGAACTGCCACACGAATGAGCAGAAAATAGCAGATGATAAATTTTTTAGGACCACCCTCTGTGTGCCAGTTGTAGCAGACTGTGAGATAATGTGCTGGCCTTTTTTGGAACATGCATTATTGATCTGGGTCTGTCTAGTGGTTTATAAAAAGCCCACCATCCTCCCCCACCCCCACTACCACCTTCCCATCCCTCACCTCCAGAAAGCTGCACTGCCTCCTTTCAAAAGCCGGTTCTGCTGCGGGAGGGGTCGGCTGGAGCTGTGGGAGGGGTCGGCTGGAGCACGGAAGGCAAGGTTTGCAGGCACTGATCTATGCAAGGTGGTGCCACAGTGTGGGTGCTGACAGACGCCCCAGAACTCGAAGGTTCCAAATGCACCGAATCCACTTCCTGGAATTTCTCAGCAGCACTTGCTCACGTATGCTAGGATGCACGTACAAAGACGTCCCCGGCCATGGTATTTGTGGAGATGAAAGCCAACTAAAACACGCTAACGATCTAGAAACAACTGCCATTCCAGGAGACTGGTTAAGACCACAAGCTCTGGGTTTTAGTCTTGCTTGGCCATGTTCTAGCCTGGTAGGTGTGACCTTAGACAAGAAAGTTCATTTTCCTGTGTCTTACTCTCTCCCTCTCTAACCAGGGAATGTATGCATTTTAAGTTAACTGGGGTTCTCCTTGCTCTCCTCCCTCTTGTGTCTTTATCATGTCCATAGATCCTTTTTCCGTATTTGCATATTCTCTGGGTTTTATTTGAGGGTCACAGATGTAAACTTATGATCACATTCTGACACAAGGCTTGGCTGGACCACACTGCTGCTGCAAAAAAGTGTTCCCAAGAGTGGTCCTTCAATCATTCACCTTGGTTCAGGCCAAAACCCTAGGAGTTGCCCTTCGTCTTCCTCTTTTCCTTAACTCCCACATCCAACCATCCCTCGAGGGCTCACCTGTGACTGCTTCCGCCCCGGGGCCAAGATTCCATCACTGGCCGAATTCCCCCACACCTCCCAATGGGGCTCCCTGCCTCTGCTCTCGGCATTCCAATTTCAATATCACAGCCAGAGGGATCCTGCTGGAACCTAAGTCTGCTCACAGCCCCCTGCTAAAGGCCCCCTAACCCAGGTCCATTTCACCAAGAATAAAACTCAAACTCCCCCTGGCGCCAAGGCCCCTCATGACCTGGCCCCAGTCCACTCCTGGCCTTCTCTCTCCCCACTTCTAGGCTGGCTCTTCTCCAGCCCACAGCCTTCCTTCTGTCCTAACCCACCAAGTTCATTGCTAACTAACACAGTCTTTGCCTTTCCCCTTCTCTGGATCTGGAACGCTCCTCCGCCATCCTCTAGCTCCCAGGACAGTGTGCTGTACAGAGAGGATGCTTAACATACATCTGCTGAGTGCATGAGTGCACGTCCAGGCAGTCTTGAACTCCCAGGCATGACTACAATTGAGGGGCCCTGTGAAGCAAGACCCTTGTGCTCTGAGATCCAGGTGCCACATGCAAGCGCTCGCCGCAAAATTCTACCAAAAACAAAACTTGGGTCCCTATGGCCGTGATCTGTAGGCTCCCCATGGTCATCAAACATGGTGCAAGATAAATGCTGCCGGAGAGATGGGTATTCTATGTGCCCAATTTTCAATAAAAGTTCTGGGCTTCGATTGCTTCCTGGCTATAAAGTCTTCTTGTACTTGATAAGCTCTCTGAGAAAAATCTATACTGGTGATTATTAATATAAATCATTATAAGGAGCAACTGGGATGTATGTAAGTTACCTTTTCTTAGCAGTTAAAAAGACTGATGTATGCTTTTAATGATGGATCCAAAAAGAGTGTAGATTTGCAGGTGGATTTTCACTGCAATCTCAGGTTTGGTTGCAAAGGCTTATCTAGTCAACTTTTAAATTTGTTGCCACCAATGATACTCAATTGCCCTTTGACAGTGCATACAGCCTCACCTGGTCAACCACGGGTGCTTCGTACCACAACCTGTAAGAGCCTCCAAGATATGGCTCCATCTTCTCCCTCCCTCAGGCTCCAGCCCCATCTGTCTCCTTGCTCCTGCCTCAGGGCCTTCGCCCATGCTGTTTCCCTTGCTTAAAAGGCTTTTCTCAGATCTTCACAGTACATAGTAGCGCTGATGACTGGAAGGGAAAGCTATAGGGGGAAAGTGCACAAGGCTGTGTGCTGTCCAACATGGTAGCCACAAGCACTACCAAGCACTTGAAAGGTGGTGAGTCCTAAATGAGATGTGCTCTAAGTGTAAAGTACAGGCCAGATTTCAAAAACAATATAAAAAATGTAAACTGTCTCATTAAGGACTTTTTAATGTTGATCACATGTTAAGATGATAATCATTTGCACCTACTGGGTTAAACAAAATACATGATTAATTTCAGATTTTTTTAGCATTAAATAATGTAGTTGTTAGAAAATCTATGTCATTTGCATTTGTACTCTTGTAGAGTAGGGCAGTTCTGTGTATGGTTTGCTTGTTGGAGAAATAGAACCTGTAAAATCAGTGAATTCACGGTGGTGGGGAGGAGAAGAAGCTAGGGAGAAAGAAGGCTTACCCTGAGGGAGAGCCCCAATGGTGAGCTGGTAATATCCGTGGAGCTCGGCCCTGGGGAGCAGAAGGTCCAGCTGAGACAGGCTCGCTCTTGGCGGCCTCATGTGTGGAGGTTTGTCCTCATGCAGAGGGACACGTGGTGAGAAAAGCCTATGTAGATGTTGCGCTCACAGCTCAGGTGGAGGAGCCTGTGGTCTAGTGTGAGCACAGAGGCAGAGCCAGGAAGGCTTCTACGCTGAGCCAAGGAGGCAGTGTGATTGCGGGGAGGGGGCTTGCGTGGGGAATAAAGGTGCTGAGATTGGGAGCTGGAGAAGCCCCTGACACGCCTGCTGTCATTGCGAGTGAGCTAAACCCTGAAAAGGGTCCTGTCCTCACTTCTAGAGCCAGAGCACTGTGAAGGGAGGAAGCTCCAGGCAGGAGGCAGCCAAGCTCGTCCTCCTGAGGCACCATTTTGGTGAACAGGGTCAGGACACTACTACTAGCAGTAGTGTCCGCCCTGTCTGTCCCCAGATGCCACCGAGGAAGGCTGAGCCCACCTGAAATGGTTAGATCGGAGGAGCAGGACCCATATAGGTGTGTGTGTACACACACACATGTACCCACACATAAGCACACACATATGTACACTCTGGCTGGCTCCTTCTTAGCTTCAGTGTCAGCTCAAACATCACGCCCTCTGAGAAGCCCTCTCTGATTACCAACCAAAGTAGCTCCCACTCCCCCAACCAGCACAGCATCCTCTTTAGTATCACCAGCCCATTTCTCCCTTTCTGCAGTGATTTTCCCTGCGACCTAGCTGATTATCTGTGGCCCTCGCTCCACGACAGTAGGGATCGTGCCTGTCTCACTCATTACTCAAGTTCTAGGCCCTAAAATATCGCCTGGCACACAGCAGGTACCTGAGAGAGTGAAGCTAACAAATTGGTCTAAATATCTCTTCTCCTTAAGACTTTTGGAGAAATCCAGGAAGGGCTCTGCCTTAGGAACGAGCTGGAGACTCCTAACCTTGGGAACCAAGCCGCAAATGCACATGTGAGGGACAACCCCCTGTGACTTGGTTTAAATCCAAGTGAGCTCCACGGGTCTCCACTGTGACCCACCTCAGGAGCCTCAGATCTAGCACGGCAGCCATTGCAGTGCAGGTGGCCCCTGCTGGATGGGCGGCCCCAGCTGGGAGGGTGGTCCTGGCTGGGTAGGTGGCACATGCTAGGCGGGTGGTCCTGGCTGGGAGGGTGGTGCTGGCTGGGCAGGTGGAACCTGCTGGGTGGGTGGTCCTGACTGGGCAGGTGGCACCTGCCAGGTGAGTGGTGCTGGCTGGGCAGGTGGCACTTGCTGGGAAGGTGGCACCTGCTGGGTGGGTGGTCTTGGCTGGGAGGGTGGTGCTGGCTGGTTGGATGGTGCTGGCTGGGCGGGTGGCACTGGCTGGGCGGGTGATCTTAGCTGGGTGAGTGGCGCTGGCTGGGCGAGTGGTCACCTGCTGGGTGGGTGGTCCTGGCTGGGTGGGTGGTCCTGGCTGGGCAGATGGCCCTGGCTGTGTGGGTGGCACCTGCTGGGTAAGTGGCGCTGGCTGGGTGGGTGGCACCTGCTGGGTGGGTGGTGCCTGCTGGGTGGGTGGTGCTGGCTGGGGGGGGTTGTGCTGGCTGGGCGGGTGGCACCTGCTGGGCAGGTGGTCCTGGCTGGGTGGGTGGTGCCTGCTGGGTGGGTGGTCCTGGTTGGGTGATTGGTGCTGGCTGAGTGGGTGGCGCCTGCTGGGTGGGTGGTCACCTGCTGGGTAGGTGGCACTTGCTGGCCGGGTGCTTACCGAGCTCCACATCCTGGTCATCTGTCAGCACCAGGATGATGTTGGGGCGGATGTTTCTGCGGTCCCTCTGGAACCTGCCCTTCAGGCGGTGATGTGACAGGAACGCTGAACTCCCACCCAGCAGAGAGAAGGCGGTTGCGGAGAGCAAGCAAAGCAGGAGGCCGTGGGGTGCCATCTTACGACCTTCTGTCGATCTGTTGCTTCTTGCCGGACCCAGGAGGCTGAAGTCTGAGGCGTTTTGTGGATTTGCCTCTTTTCCCTTCCCGCTCTACTCACGGATCTAAAGTAGGAGGAAGAGAATCAGGTCAGTCTTTACGTAAAGGCCGCCTGACTGCTCGGGCTTGCATAATGATTTCTGGCATGGACTAGCGGGTGTCTTTGATCAGGGGGGAGATATAGCAAAGAAAACCGAACTCGGAGAAAGTTAGAAGGTAAGAAGTTGCGATCTGCTCAGTCAACAGAGCAGCAGAGAGGCTGTCTGTGACTTCTGCAGACGAACTTTTCTCCCCCGGACCAGCAATCCACTGCATGTGCCGGTGGCGGGCCTTGTCCCAAGTCAGATGACCAGCCTGTCTCCGGACCATCCAACCCGTCCAACAGACAGATCCGCCCCAGAGAAAGGAAAAGGAGGAGCCCAGTGTGGGGGAGCAGATATTTCTGGGCATCCCCTCTCCTCTGGCAGCTGGGGTGGGGGAGACACAAGCGAGCAGGACGCAGTCCCCGCTCTTGGGCAGCATGTGGCTCAGGCAGGGCTGCGTGACCCCGGATGCTGCGTGTGCTCCAGTCACAGCTGTCACCTGCCGGGGTCCCCCCATCAAGCCAGTAAGGAGCCTCAGTTTTCCCGGGCACAAAATAGAGAGACGAGGTTGTTACAGGAGCTCCAGCCAATGGGATGTGTGTGAAGGCCCCCTGCAGACAGATCCCAAGTGGGCAAGTTATTCACACTAGTTTTCAGTCCAAAGAACAAACAAGATGACAGAAGAGAAGACTGGGAGCGCAAAGAGCTGCGGGAGAAGAGCTGTCCCAGTCTGTCGCGGCCCTGGTCACCCCCGGACCCCGGGTCAGATGGGGTCATGAGCGAAGGCAGGGGCAGGGGAGGCAGGATGGCGAATCTTGGCTCAGGCAGGTCTGATCTCGTTCTGCTCTTTGCTCTCTGTGGTCATTTTTCTACTTCTTGAGGAAATGAGCCTTCAAGTCTTTCCAGATATAGACTCTAGGTCTCATTTATTTAGAACGAGAGAGAGTGAGTGAGCAGACGTGTCAGGAGGAAACCAGGCTTGTTGGAGGTGAGGTCGCATGACCTTGAAGGACTCTGCTCGCCCCCCGCCCCCGTCACAGCTCAGGGAACTCATCAAGGGTTCTGGTCCACAGAAGGGGATGTGTCGCGGCGACACCCCTCTAAGAGGTCCCCTGTCTTCCGCAACTGTGCCCCATCCTCCGTCCTCTCTGGATGGCCAGCAGCATCTCCCTAAAATGCAAATCCCATCTTATCCCTCAGTAGGCCTGGCCCAGGCTGAGACCAGCAAGGTGTTCAGGGCACAAGACAAAAGGGACTCACTCAGTCCAGCTGGTACCGGCACAAGGCCCTCACCTTAGTCCCAGTCCTGTCCCTCACCTGCTCAGACTCTCCCTTGGCTTCTCCAGCCTGAAGAATACAATGCACGCTCCCTACCAGGGCTTCCAGGGGATCCAAGTGATCCAGCCCCTGCCCACCTCACCTCCTTTCTCCCAATTGCTCCCCAGCCCCATTGGCTTCTTTCTGTTGACAAGTCAAGCTTGTTTCTGCCCCAGGGCCTTTGTACTTGTTCTTCCTTAAACCTCGAAGAGTCTTTCCCCAGATTTATTTTCTATACTGGGCTCACTCTCCTCCACCAAGTCTTGACACAAACAACATCCTTAGAAAGGCCTGCCCCGACTGCCGTACGTAAGGTGGTGCCCTCACCTGAGGCACTCTATGTTAGAACTTGATTTATTCTCCTGATAATCCCTACTACAACCTGCAATCATCTTAGTTGCTCAGCTCTCCCCACTCAAGGGTCAGTTCCAGGAGGGTAGGAAGTGGGCCTGTGTTCACCACAGCTTGGTCCCCAGCACTTTGTACTATGCCTGTCACCTAGTAGGGGCCAAAGAAATATTCTGAGAGCTAAAGGAGTGGGGGGTTTGTTAAGGTCCCCAGAATTCTGCAGAGTGAGGGATGTGGGGCTTGGCAGGGCCACACCACAGCCTCGTTTGGAAGCTCAGCAGCATCACCAACCCCTTCCCCCATCAGCCTCCTCCAGAAAGGGTCCCCCTCATCTGTTTTCCACCCTGCTCTGTGCCCCAGGAAGCCAGTCTCACCTCTGCAGGTGGCACCTGCCTGACCTCTGGCTTCCCGAGGGCTGGGCCTGGGGAAGCTCTGCTGGGTGGCTGCTGGAGAGGGGGAGGCAGGAAATCCTTCACTCAGCTGTGCTCCCTCCCTTGCATTAGTGGCACCCCAGTGCCTTTGTCACTCTAGGCTGGCCACTGCTCTGGCTTTCCTCCAGCCCTGGGGGCACCTCTCCCTCCTCTCGTCCCTTTGGTGAGGCTTGTTCCCTGGCTAGTTCCTTCTGGGTGTTGCAAGACTCCTCATTTGCTGCTCCCCGAGCCCCGAATGCCTCTGGAAGTAACGTCTTCCATCCACACTCCCCAGGGCAGGCCAGGAGCAGGCTCCATGCAGTGCTTCCCTCCCCAGAGATCTCCGACAGGACATCTGTGCAGGGGCAGGGTGGGGGGGGTGGAGTAGTGAGGATCACGTGCTCGGGGGAGCTGACCTGGGAACCGTGACTTTCATAGGACCCGAGGGCAAGCACGGCTCCCATCTCATGACCTCTCGGCAGCCAGAGCCACTGCATCAACTGCTTATTCAGCATCTGCCATGCGCCGCACTGGGCAACGGTTAAGATGTGGACTTTGGCGTCACTTGCTGAGTGACCCCGGGCAAATAACTTAACCCCTCTGTGCCTCAGTTTCCTCATCTATAAAATGGCTGTGAAGGATGAAATGGGTTCATTTAGAGTGCTGAAACCACAGCCCACCACAGGGAATGACCCGGAACACATCGTTCACAGAGTAAACCATTCTTGGGGGACGGTCACTGTAGTTGTGGGTGGGCTGTGACGGGCACTCTGCTTGCAGAGTCTCTTCCACTCCCAACCACCCCCCACACAGGGACGAGTGCTGTCCCCACTTTCAAGCTGAGAACACAGGGCCTTAATCACCATCCTAAGATTCCCCCAGGGAGCAAACGGCAGAGGGGGTCTGACTTCTGCTCCCCTGACCGCTCAGTGCGGGTCCCCTCCCCTAAACCCACATTTCCCGACGGCCTCCATTCAGGTGCCACAGCCCCTGTTTCTGCTAAATCTACACAACCTTTCCACTGTGAAATGGCCTCATTTAAAAATAAAAACACAAATATGCTTTTTTGAAAAAGCAAACTTTCTACCCAAGGGTAAGTAGAAAATTGGCATCCCCTTCTCCATCAAACTAACTCACACAGAATGAAAGAAAGCAGACACGCTTACTCAGCCTCACAGCTTCTAGTTCCTTCCTAAGGATCCAAGCTGAGCCCTGTGCCTTCCTGCTTTCCCACCTGCACACACTCTCTCTTTAGCTGTTGAAAGAAGTCAAAGCGCATTAGACTTTCTGCTGGAGGGAGTGGAAAGCTGGGAGAGGGTTGAAAAGGGACATGTTCCACCTCGAATCGGTCCGTGGATCACCCCAAATCATGGGGTGGTTCCTAAATCATGTTTCTCAGTCCCTGTCCCACCTGCCTCGGGAAACCCATCAGGATGCTTTGTGCCTTGCACTCGAACTGATGCCTCAACCGGCCCACCTTCATTTGTGAAACACAGATCCATGCGCCTTCAGATAGACATCAAGCACTAAAATAACATCGAGAGACTTTCCAAGGGATGTCCCCCAACTCTCTTCTACCAGAAACAGTAACAGCAAATGCTTGTTGAGAGCTTGCAACACTCCAGCCCCTGCTCTATACATTTTACGTTTAATCTGCACTTCCACCCATCGATATTATACCCATTTCTTGGATAAGCCGAGGCGCAGAGAATTAAAAGTACTTTTCCACGACACATGGTTAAATAAGCGGCAGACGGGGTTCAAACCCAGTCTGGCTCAACCAGATTACTGGGTAAGTTCCTGAGTCTCCCAGCCTCAGTTTCCTTCCTCATTTGCCAAATGGAGCAGCAGGTGGCCAGGTGTCCTCTGAGGGTCTTTTGGGCTCCAGGCCTGCGATGTAGAGGGAGGTAAGGAGCTGGCAGCTGCGGCCTGTATTGGGAGCTCTGGGCCAGATGGTGGGTGGAGCTGGGAGATGTGGTCAGCTGGACTGTTCCTGGCACCCATGTTGGTTTTCTCATGAGCCTTCCCCACCCCCAACCGCACTCCCCTTCACTCCCTGCTCCCAGGCAACCATAAACCACCAGCGAGGATGCTCCCCTCTGGAGAGAAGTCAAAGCTCTGTGACTGGAGACCAGAGAGTAACAGGAGCTAATTATTTCATCAGATCAAGTCATCAGTAGGTCGAATTTTGATGAATTCCCTCAGCTCTGACTTCCCCTGGCCTTGTGCCAACCTCTCTCTCTGGATGCTGAAGAAATCAATTAAAAATGACACAAGGGATTTTTGCCTCCATTTTTTTCCCTTCTTGGTAAAAGATTCAAAGTGGTTGTGCGGAGAGTATCTGGTGAATCTGCACAGCACAGCGGACGGATGTTCTGACTGTCCCTCAGATACTCCCCTCGTTCCCACCAGCTCGCTGCAAGGCCCATCTGGCGCCTTCTCTTTGTCCTGTGTCTTCTCATAGCCCTTGGCACAGGCCTTCCAGCCCAGGAAGACAGCTCCGGAAATGTCTAATGTCCCACATGTTCAGAAACATCACTCCTGCTTCTAGACTTATCTGTTATCTGTTAATCTGCAGAGAGGAACAAGTCCCAGGGGGCCCAATGACCCCTCCCAGCCCCACACACCACAGCTTTGGGGAAGCTCCCAGGACCTCGCTCAGGCCTGTCCAGAAAGACCCAGATGGTAGTCTTCTCTGAGGATCCCTAAATTGCCAACAAGATTAGCTAAGAGGAGTCTGGGAATGATTAGGCAGCTGAGGGAGTGGGAGAGGACGTGGCCCGAGGCAGAACAAGGCACTGCCTGAGGGAAGAACCTTCAGGGAGAAGGGAGGAAAGGGATTGTAGGGTGTGGAGAGGTGCCCCGTGTGCTGGGGCAGGTGGTGTGGACAGCCTGATCACTAACATCCTCCTTCACTTACTTAATAGATCTCTATTTAGGGCCTAGTATGTGCAAAGCACAGAGTTAGGTGGTAGGATAGTCCTGCCTGTATCCTAACAGCCTCCTAAGTATTTTCCTTGCTTCTACTCTCTCCACCTTCTGGCAAATAGCCAGAGGATCCTGTTAAAATCAAGAAGGCCCTCCACTGAAAAGCCTTCGAGGGCTCCCATCTCATGCTAAATAAAACCCCAAACCCTCCAAAGGGCCAATGAGACTCTACACAGTGTGCCTATCCCCCCTCTGACCTCATCCTCTTCCATTTTTCCCCTTGTCCACTCCGCCCCTGTGCTGTTTCTTGACATGCCAGGCATGTCTCCACCCCAGGGCCTTTGCACTTGCTGTTCCCTCTGGTTGGAGCCTTCCTCCAGCTACCTTCAAGGCCCTGTTCTCACCTCCTTCCGGTCATTGCTTACATTTTGTCTTCACAGGTTAGCACAGAAACATCTGCCCCTCCCACTAGTCCTGACCACCTCTGGCAAACTACGGATTTTACCTTTTTCTTTATGGGTCACCCCCCCCCTTCTCCAGCCCGACTGGGGTGTCAGCTCCCCGAGGCCAAGGATCTTTGTCAGGTTTCACATCCGTGTCCCCAACTCCTGACCTAGCAAAGCATTCCACTGGCCCCCCCCAACCCCGGGAGGCCCTCCAGGGGGGCTGGGGTCCCGGCCACCCCCTTACTGCGCTAGGCAGGGGCAGCTGGGCTCCACGGCGGAGCACGTGACGCAGGCAGAGCCAATCAGCACGTTCCGTCTCCTTGGCTCCAGTGATTGGTCCAGAGGCAGACATGTGGCCCCGGGCTGGCCAATGGGAGGGAGCGGGGAGGAACCGTGGGAGCGGGCGGCCAGGTGCCAGCCCCGCCCGCGGGGGGAGGCTCCGAGGGGCTGCTGGGGACCTGCAGGGGACGCGGGCTGAGCCTCGTGCAGACAGGCACCCTCGGCTGCTTCAGGGAATCTTTTCCAACAGGAAGCACCAGGCCCAGCCCAGCAAACTCCCCTGAAAAACGGTGGTGGAGAATGAATAATACCACGGGCGGGGTACTAATGACAGGCCCCGCCCATCCCTCCGCACTCTTCCCTTAGCTCCGTCACCCTTACAGTCACCCTTACAGCTCGGAGTCGGATGTTCTATTTGCAGATGAGGAAGCTGAGGCACGGGGAGTTTCCAGAACTTGCCCAAGGTCATGCAGTTTGGAGGTGAAGCAGCTATTGCCTCCACCTTGGCTCACCTCCTCCCCATCCTCTCTCCGGGCAGGCTTCCCTGCGCCCTGGGAGATTCCCTTGGATGGACCACAGCAGTTGGCTCTTGGTGGGGTTTGGCCCTGGGGAGCGGGAGGGGGGGGTCACTGCCAGGCATCCGTCCTCCCTGCCCAGGTTCTGGGAGCTGACCACATCCCTCTCTTGCTCTGCTGGGGGCTGCAGCTCCCGTGGGTGGCTCTCTCCAGGTGCCAACCAATGCTCCCCACCGTCCCCAGCCCTCGGGATCTGAATACTCATTTTCTTAACACTGCTCACACCTTTGTTGGAAGGCTCGACCTGCTTCCTGCAGAGCCCTGGGTGGGTAAAGCAAGCGGACCTCACAGCTGAGATGTGCACCCAGACGGCCGGACTCCAGCGCCTCAACCCGACCCCTGTGCTCACTTGGAGACCCATGAATGGTACAAGCAGCTGAGGTTAAGCATATGGCACAAACAGAAAGAAGAAGGGGGAAAGTGCTGGTCTGGGGGGGGGCAGTCAGAGAGGGCTGCCTGGAGGAGGTCTCACAGGATAAAATTTAAAGTTTAAGTTCCTCTTCCTAAGTAAGAGGAACAAAGTTCTGAAGAACCCACAGGGTTTTTCTGAAGAGGGGGGAAGACAGGGTGCTTCCAGCACGGGAAATCGCATGAGCAAATGGCAGGCAGAATGGGAAGGATGGAAGTGCGTGGTCTCGAACCTCGCAAGCCCAGGAGTTGTCTAGATAGGGAAATGACACAAGCACATCTGTTCAACCTTACACTCCTCTGGTGTCTCCCCTTCTTCCTGGCTTCAGGCTTTTTCTAGGCTTCTCTCTTCCTCTCCAGGGCTGTCAAAGAAAGGACAGAAGCTCCTGTAACCTATGGGCACAGACTCTCCTTGTCTTCCTGCCTGGGGCCAGGACACCTTGTGGTTCTCTGTGCCTGGTCTTGGAAGTCCAGCTGGAGGTAGAGAAGCAAGCCAGCTCTCCAGAGCAGGACACAGGACAAGAGAAGCGTCTTTCAAAGGGAGGCGGCAAAGATCAAATTTCAAGACAAGGGCTCAGGATCTGGAAAGGAAATCAGGGCATAGAGAGAATGGCTTAAGAACCCCGTTGCTAGGGATCCCTGGGTGGCGCAGCAGTTTGGCGCCTGCCTTTGGCCCAGGGCACGATCCTGGAGACCCGGGATCGAATCCCACGTCGGGCTCCCGGTGCATGGAGCCTGCTTCTCCCTCTGCCTATGTCTCTGCCTCTCTCTCTCTGTGTGTATGTGACTATCATAAATAAATAAAAATTAAAAAAAAAGAACCCGTTGCTTGTATAACTGTTCGTTCGACAAGAAATTCTCAAAGACCCACTATGTGCCAGGCACAGTTCTTGGTACTGCAGATAAAGCAGTGGAAAAAAAAAAAAAAGTCCCTGCCCTCAGGGAGCTGACATTCTAAGGAGTCAAGTCCAAAGCTGGAGTTGAAAAACTCTAGCCAAAAGTGAGAAGTGTCAGGACTCGAAGTTATGGCAAACCACAGTGAACTTCTAGGATGGGACCACGGAGTCTAGTTAGAGCTCAACGAAAGCTCAGAAACAATATATTCAAGGAGCTGGAAGGCGGAACGTCGCAAGGTTTTATATGTAAAGTGAGCGGTGTTTGAGAGGCCATGTAATTCACATGCTCTAGTATCTGAGCATCTATGTGCAAATACTGTTTCATGATCAGTGAAAAAAACCAGACACAGACCTCTCCTCTGATGGAGCTGAGAGAGTGAAGAAAGCCAAGCAGATAGGTACGTGCTAAAATGCAGCCGGGAACAAGCCAGAGAAGTGGCGTTCCAATCTTGGCTCTACTACGGGCGAGGTGTTGGAGAAGTAACTTACCCTCTTGTGGCCTCAGTGTCTTCATCTATAAAGTGGGGCCAGTAAGAGCATTTACAGAGTTGTGAAGACGAAATGGCCTAATGCCTGTGAATCCTTTAGACCTTTAGGACTGTATACAGTAAGTGCCCAATATATGTTGGCTAGCATTCTTGGTTGGGTTTGGGCTAACATACTTTCTATAACGCATCCAGTTTTCATTTGGGGATCTTCTCCCCAATCCTCAGTCCGTGAGGTTCAAACTATGCCCCAGCTGCAGAGCTCAAAGGCTAGACCATGGGATCCAGACCTGAGCCAATCAGAGCCTTCCAATTCCTCCTCCTCAGTGGTTGGCCAACCAGAGTAATCCAGGCGCCCTGGCCTGGCTAGGAGAAGATGCCTACCTACCCTTTTCAACTGGCTAACTTGTTCCATGTCCTTCCACCATGAGAGTGAGGGAAGATGGACACCATCTTGCCTCATGTAGAGGTGGAATGAAGCCAACACGTGGAAGAAAACAGAGCAGAGAAATGGAACATACTTGGGTTTTGAAACATTTGAGACCTGGATCCAGCTAAGCCTGAAAGAAGAAGATTTACGTCTGGGTTCTTTGTTGTGGGTGCCAAGAGATTCCTTTTTTTCCTTTGACTAGTTTGAGCAGTTTTCTTTCTTTCATAGGTGAACTTTCTCACACGTTGACTCCTTAGGGACATGAATCAAATTCTCTTTGTTTCTTAGGTTGCGCCAAGTTGCTTTCTCTGTCACTTGCAACCGAATGAACCCAAATGGTAGAGCAAGCTGGAGACAGAGTGTTGACTCAGGTGGCTTCCCAGCTGCCTCCTGCCTCCGTGCAGAGAGACCTGACAACACGGCTTGCTAGCCCTCGGCCTGGGCCTGGGCCCAACTCTCTGCCTTACTGTAGGCAAACTTTCCTCATCCTTATTTGTCAACCGATAAGAAAAAGGTGGTGTGGAAAAGCAGAAGGAACGTGGGTGTGGGAGTCATGAATTCTGGTCCCAATTTGGTCTCAGTTTCCTCATCTGCCAAACCAAACAGACTGTTCCCTGGGCACGGCCCTGCAGTTTGGGATAGGTGGAGTCTGAAGGTGGAGAGGGGGCCTTCCCTGGCCGCCCTCCTGGAAGGAGGACTCCCTGTTACTCTTGGCCTCATCCAAGGTTTGTTCTCTTCAGAACACTCATCACAACATGTGATTCTTCATGCACTCTTCTATTCTGGTCTTTATTTTGTGGGGGTTGTTTTTCTTACTGGAAGCTCTGCAGGGGTAGGGCTGTCTCTTCTTTTTTTTTTTTTAAGGATTTTTCCTTACTTTTTAAAAAATATTTTACTTATTTATTTGAGAAAGAGAAAGAGCATGGACGGTGGGGAGGGGCAGAGGCAGAAGGAGAAGTAGACTCCTCACTGAGCACGGAGCCCAACACGGGGCTCAATCCCAGGACCCCGGGATCATGACCTGAGCTGAAGGCAGACGCTTAAACAACTGAACCACCCAGACCCCCATTAAAGGATTTTAAAAGAAGATTTGAGAGAGAGAGAGAGGAGAGAGAGAGAGAGAGAGAGAACGCACACAAGTGGGTGGAAGGGCAGATGGGGAGAGAGAAAGAGAGAGAATCCTCAAGCAAACTCTGTGCTGAGCAGGGAGCCTGACGTAAGGCTCGATCCCAGGACCCTGAGACCATGACCTGAGCCGAAACCAAGAGTTGGACACACAACCGACTGAGCCACCCAGGCGCCCTGTGCTGTCTCTTTTCTAAATAGCCCCAGCCCCTGGCACAGCCTGGGTGCTAATTCTTCCAGTTGGTCAACAAATATTTACTGAGCACCTACTATTCACAGGCCCTATTCTACATGCTGGAGACCCAGAAATAAACAATCTTTTATGGATCAACACCAAAATAAATCACAGGCATGAGGTGATGAGTCCTAAGAGGGTGAGACAAGAGAGAGAGGTCAGAAGTGCTGGTCAGGGTAAGGCTGCATCTTTAAATGGTGGTGGTGGGGGGGTGTCAGTTGGGTAGAACCCTGAAGGTGGTGAAGAAACGTGCCTTGAAGATATTCAGGGGAACGGTGTTCCAGGCATAGGGAAAAACAAGAGCAAATGTCCTGGGAGAGGAGTGTGCCGGGGAGCCTGAGCCATATAAAGTGGGCAAGCAGGGCTGGAGTGTTGAGTGATGGGAAGGCTAATATTTGGAGCGGGAGGAGGATCTGGAAGGTTCCAGCCTGAGAGTGTTGAGATTGGATGTAGGTTTTAACAGGATCCTTCTGGCTGTGTGTGGAGAACAGACTGCAGGGCGTGAGGGTGGAGGCAGGGAGGCCAGTGGGACAGCTGCCTGGACAGTGCTTGGACCAGGAGAGGGGCAGCGAGGGGGCAAGATGTGAGATTCTGGATTTTGTTGAATGAATGAATGAATGATTGAAAGGAGGTAGACTGGTACATGCCAAGTGCTCTGATGACTGTTTCTATGTAACAACTGATCTTCAACCTTAGCAGGAGAATAAAGTCTTTTTAATTTTTTTTTTTTTTTTTTTTTTTTTACAGGACACAGCATGGATAGCTGGTCTCTGCTTTAGAATGTCTGAAGCCAGAGCTGAAATGACCAAAGAGCTGGTGGCTGCTACTGGCAGTTGGCTAGGACCTCAGGGGGCCCCTCCCTGTGTGCCCTGGGCTTCCTCCCAGCATGGCGGCCTCAGGGTGGGGGGTCTGATTTCTTATGGGGCACCTTGTGGCTCGGGAGGGGGGTGTCCCAGCGATGGGCAGGGCTGCCTCAGTTTTTGCAATTGAACTCATTTCTGCTGTCCCCCAGGGCCACTCCCACCACATCCTATCTGTCACAGGCCATTCACAAGAAAGACTGGCCAGGTTCAAAAGGAGGGGACAAGGGACCCCATATTTCCATGGAGGAGTGTCAAGATCACGGTGTAGATGAGCGAGCAGGCTAATTTGCGGCCGTCTTGGAAACACAAAGGGTCCTGCTACCTCCTGGAGAGCCATGGGGGCCTCTCAAGAGCACATATCACCCCTTCTAGGAAGTGTAACTTGAACCTAGTCTGATTCTGTGTCTGCATCTGGCAAGCTTTGGAGTCTGTGCCCACGCCCAGTTCCGAGATCCCTGAGCCTCAGGAGGCCCGGGGGACCTGAAGGCTCCTTGGACCCCACTCCTCCGTCTCATAGGATTCAAATGGGTTCAATCAGCAGTGTCAGGGCCAGAGTCCTGCTTGTCCTGCTTCTGAAGGGAGCAAAGACAAAAGCTTGTGCTGGACGTGGAAAGCCACAGAAGGCACCCCCACCCCATACTTCAGAGGATGGGGCTACTCCTGTTATACTGACATGGAAGACAGGAATTCCCACTTAAAAAATAAAACTTCCCCTTCCTTGTTTTTAAGTAGAAAGGAAGCCGCCAACAAACCCAGAAACCCCAAGTGAAGTGTGGGACCTGGTTTTGGGGAACTGGCCCTAACTGCCCCCCTTCCCACCTGCTGTGGTAAGAGGGGGACACTCCAGAGGCCTGCCCCTTGGCCCTCGGAGCCCAGGGACACTGTGCCCATGGGAGCTGTCCGGAAGGGGAGGCCGCTGTGTCCATGGCAGGGGCTGACCTGTCGGGAGTGGATGCCTTAAACTGAGGGGTGCCGGGCTGGGGCCGGGGACCAGGTCTGGGGTGAGGGGTGGCACTGACAATGCTAGGCCGGGTAAGAGCCACAGACGTCCCCCAGCCTTCCAGAACTTGGCCCGGACAACACAGCTACTCCACCTGGCCCACAATCACCGACAGGACCCACTTCGACCCCGCGCCCCCGCTCTTGTGTGGCAAGGTCTCAGAAGATCTGCGTGTCACCTGCACTCTCAACTTCTGCCAGATTCTTCAGCTTGTTCCCTTTCCAATTTTAGCAAATTTATCTACAAAGGAAGGCTTCTCCCTCCATGAGGAGCAAGCACCACTTGCCCTAAGCCAGAATCTCTTAATCTGGGCTCCATGGACAATGGGAGCTGGGCCATTCTTTGGCCTGTGCATTGTAGGGTGTCTGGCAGCCTCCCTGGCCCCCACCTGTGACATGTGTGTAGCATCCACCCCCAACTGAGGACAACAAAGACATCTCCAGACATTGCCATGCGTTCCCTCGGGGGGAACGAAATCGCCCCCAGGGCAGAATCCCTGCCATAAATGGATAGCAACATAAAGAAACAAATTCAATGACATTGTAGTTGGATTCTTGCTTGCCAAGGGCACTGACCTTTTTCTTGCAAGGGGAGCAGGCAGGCCTCCTTGAGGACCACAAGGGGGGGTTATGGGGACTCCTTCCCTGATGACTCAGAAGAGAACACAGTGAAATTCCATGTCATTTATGGAATGACCCCCTAAAACACA